AACATTCATACTGTGAATTTCTTTCCTTGGATTTTTTTCTCAAAATTCCAAAGTTCGAAACTTATTTACATCAGTGTTTACTGGCTTGGGTGTTTGTGGTGTACATGTATGGTTGACTGATGTGTCATTTACTTTGGTGGAGAGACGGCAGCACTGAGCAAGTGAGCACTACGGGTAAGCGTAAAGTTCACTGCCTTGGTCATGGTTCAGTGCTTAGTGATGGGTATTCGGTGTACTTGTTATTGTCTTCTTCGTCCGATATGTGGGGGGGGGGGGCTCTGACCGTCAAGTAAGAGATGTTTTGTTTGGTAACTTTGTCTCCTTTTGTGGCTTCTACAATGTTTACTCTTTTCGTCGCCAAATAGAAGGTGTTAGGTGAATGGTGAAGTATGTATGGATTTGTTTGGTTGTCGCACAAGGACTGTGTCTCCTGGCTGGATGATTAAGAATACCATTTTATTGGCTATTTTCTGAAAATATAGCATCTTAGCTTCGTGCTCATGCAAGAACTAAGAGATATTGTGAAAATTATAGCATAGGCCTACAATGATGAAAGATGCCAAAAAAGTCAATTTTGGGGGCAGCTTTTCCATTGACGTGCAACGGGAAGTAAAGAATCGGTATGCCGTCCATCGTTCAACTTCTCCATTAGCTCTTGGCTAAAGAGGGTCGGCGATAGAAAAAAAAACCTACTTCCTGAACAGTAAAGGCACTGCCTTAGTGTTCAGGAAGTAGGAGAATCCGAGATATGAAAAATTGGCAATCTCGTGCGGTGGAATGGGGGCCATTGTCTGTCTTTATACCGGGTATATCTTGTCTGGCAAAGATAGCATCCAGCTTCGAAAAGGTTGCTATCGACTTTTGGGCAACAGTGGCGGAACATTGTTACATGTGTGTAGGGGGGGCAAGCTCGGCCATTAGATTGAAAAGAACTTACAATTCTGAAGTTGCAATGTACCTCCAATGGCTGGTAGACCTATAAAGTGGGGGGGGGGGCAAAATGACTGCCTTCTCAACGGTGTGGAGGGACCCCCTCTCCATTCCGCCGCTAGTGTTTCTGGGTACTTAGCGTACGTATTCGTCAACTGCAACCAGGACCGGATGACTGATACGGTTTATAACACTCGCAATCCGCGTGGTTAAACTACAACAACAGAGGACGCTTTTCAACTACACTGCACTGTATGTCGTGAGTTTGGGCATGATCCCTGAAGAAACATACCAACAGAGTGAACTGAATGAACCAGAATTTTTGGCTGGTGGGCATCCTACTCTGTACTGTCAGTGGTTCGTCCATTTGAAGCAATCTATCTGTTCGCCTTTTTAAGCGATATATTTTAACTTCCGTGACAATCTCTTTCTAAACAAATACATGTAACTGTAGCAATCTATTGTGGAGTTTTACAATAAAGATAACGAAATAGTAACATCACTCCAATCATAGTGACCAAGACAACGCTGTCGCCTGACTTCAAGGCTACTATACAACCTCAGGTATATCCAGAAGACTAATTCTCTAGTTACTAATTACAAAAAAGATGTCTGGTGATTTGGATGGATGAAGCAATACTTTCATTTCCTTTACTTACAGTGACCTGGGTTCAAATCCAACCAGGGTTCGAATTCTAACAATTACAAAAAAATCCCTGGCACTTCCGTTTTGATTTTTATTACCCTGAAATTGAATACAAAAGAAGTAAGAACTTAAAATATTTCCATGAAAAGTTGGGTCAAGAACACAGATAATAAAATGATAAAATCTTGTTTCCAACTGTTTAAGGCAAGAAATAAAATTAAAGGCTAGCAGGTTAGATGCAGTGTTGTATGAAGTCCAGTCCCTGGAAATGCCTGGAAGTGTGAAAGGGTGAAATGATGATGGCATTTTCCCCATTCAGTGACACTTTGTCTCTGGTGACTTGCAGTGACTCCTAGTTGGAGTATAAGGAAAATCTGGCCCTGTTATGTCCGGTAGGGGTTTGGAATGGGCGGACATAAGAACATGACCAGTCGTTGAATGAACTTTTCAGTTGTAATGGTGATGCGAGTAGAGGACTGTTAATTTTTTTCAAGTCCGCTTGGAAATAAAAGCACGCTTTCGTCCCTTCGTATTGGACTCATCAGTTGCACAAGGGTGATTCCGGGGCCGGAATCATACGAACTCAGAGGTGGTTTGAAATTTAGTATGTGCGCCAAGAGCAGACGCTCTTTTTGTTGCCAGCCAGTAAATTTCATTCTACATGTATTTCGGTTTGTTTTTCAAGTAGGATCGAGAGCAGTATATTTAGCATATCTAGTGTTTCATCTTGTTCTTCGAGTCTGTAGGGGTTGGGTAGGGCTAAGTTACGTTTAGTGGTAGTTTCGCTAGTTTTTCTCGGATGTTTTGGGCTTTTCTGAAAGCAATGAACGGAGGTTTTGGAAAGATTTCCGATAGTAGTGCATAGCTTTGAATGAGGTGCCCTTGTCTGTTTATTGCTTGATGTAGATCACTGTGGTAAAAGGCTGGGCTGTACGTGGTAACGAAGACAGGTTTGTTTTGGTTTTCGCGGCTCGTTGCATCCTTTGTATTATTTATTAGCCTTGGTCGTTCCGCATGAATGGGTGGTTTCCAGGTATTCTTGTAGTGTTGTGGATGCCAGGTTGATGGAAGGTTTGAAAGGAAGTTTCTATGCATTAGAAATGCTGTTCTTAGTCTTCGATTAAAAGCGTTTAGGTCACTTATATATGAGCGTGGTGCGGTTTGGTTTAGCGGGGGTGGGAATTAAGTTGAGACCTTTTCCTAAAGCAATCTTTTCGGTTTGTTTTAGCGTCGCTTTGGAAAAGTTGGTTACAAACGCTTCACACATTTTCATTCTATTAATTTTAAAGCTCTTCGCATCACAACTCCAACAACAGTGACCAAGACAACGTTGTTGCCTGACTTCGAGGCTACTACAACTTCAGGTATATCCAGAAGAGTAATTCTCTCTAATTACAAAAAAAGTTGTCTGGTGATTTGGATGGATGAAGCAATATTTTCCTCTCCTTTCCTTATAGTGACCTGGGTTCAAATCTAACGAGGGTTTGCTCCCTAACAATTATAAAAAAATCCCTGGCACTTCATTTTTCTTGGTTTTCATTACCCTGAAAATAAATACAAAAGAAGTACGAACTTTAAATATTTCCATGAAGAGTGATTAAGAGCACAGTTTATAAAATTATACAATCGTGTTTCGAACTGTTATAGCAAGAAATAAAATTAAAAGTTAGCAGGTTTGATGCAGTGTTGTATGAAGTCCAGTACCTGGAAGTCCCCGTCAGTGTATCACAAGTCTTTCGCCCAGCCGCACGATATTGATGTTACTTCATTGAACTGTGACAAGGCATTCCTTCATCCTTGTTTTGGGAAAGGGTCTTGTGGTCAGACTTGAGGAGGACTTGTGATGGACTCGAGTACATCATACACCTGCCTAATATTTCAATCCTATCAGGATTGTTTTCAAAGGCCTTTGCCTTTGAGAGAGATTTTGCAAGAATAGAAGTCTAAGGCCCCGTGGACGTCCTGATGATTTTTTCCAGGGGACAAACCACTTTTTTTTGAGGGAAAAAATTCCAGGGCAAAGCGCTCAACAGCTAACGACTGATAAACAGTCAACAGCAGGAGGTGGTCTGTTTGAGGTTTTTCAAGAAATTCGTTGATTTTCTTCCCATTTCTTCTCTTGTTTGTCCTTTTTCTTATTTCTCAAATTTATATGTGTTTTTTTTTTGGGGGGGGGGCGCAAAGCCCCCTCTCAACGCCAATGTCAGGCCCAGCTCTAGATGTTTTGGATGTCACTGCACTAAGCATAATTCAACAGTGTCTGTGTTTTACATTTCTGGAGAAGGAAATGTTGAAAGGAAGGTTTGAAAGGAAGTTTCTATGCATTAGAAATGCTGTTCTTAGTCTTCGATTAAAAGCGTTTAGGTCACTTATATATGAGCGTGGTGCGGTTTGGTTTAGCGGGGGTGGGAATTAAGTTGAGACCTTTTCCTAAAGCAATCTTTTCGGTTTGTTTTAGCGTCGCTTTGGAAAAGTTGGTTACAAACGCTTCACACATTTTCATTCTATTAATTTTAAAGCTCTTCGCATCACAACTCCAACAACAGTGACCAAGACAACGTTGTTGCCTGACTTCGAGGCTACTACAACTTCAGGTATATCCAGAAGAGTAATTCTCTCTTATTACAAAAAAGTTGTCTGGTGATTTGGATGGATGAAGCAATATTTTCCTTTCCTTTACTTACAGTGACCTGGGTTCAAATCTAACGAGGTTTTGCTCCCTAACAATTACAAAAAATCCCTGGCACTTCATTTTTCTTGGTTTTCATTACCCTGAAAATAAATACAAAAGAAGTACGAACTTTAAATACTTCCATGAAAGAAGAGAAAAGAATTAACAGTTTCACCTGAAACTTTTATCCAAATTGAAGCTCTTCAGAGTACTATAGATGATTCCACACCCATTGCCACATTATCATCAACACCTGACACGACAGCGAGTACTCCAAAGTCAGGTATCCTTTTATCTATTCTCGCAAATATAGATAACAAGATTAAACCCTCTTTTGATTTCCGCATATACTTGAAATAAATCAATACCCTGAACACGACGGGAAATATGCATATCTTTCCCGTCTTAAAAAAACAGCCCAGAACATCTGCCACGCGGCCGAACGATTTGCGAAGGGGGGGGGGCGTTGTTAGGCCACCGAGTTGAAATGTAACCTAAGCGGCGAAAGAAAGACAGGTGGTCACAAGCGGGTGCTTACACGCATTCTGCGTGTACGCAAAGACCTTGCTCCGCGTCAAACGCCCATATACTTGCGCGCCTCATGACCCGCCTATAAAGTGAGTACCAAAACAAAAAACAAAAAAAAAAACCACGCCCTCTTTTGTTGCGCTCAGAGCAGGTACAGGCGATTCACAATCCAATCATAACGCGCGAAATTTGTCGACGGATTTCGCGCATTGTGATTGGCCAACGCAATGTACACTCTCGGAGGCGCACTATTGTGAAACGCCCGTATTATAGGATCAGTCGAAAAAGTGTGGGGGGGGGCACCGGCTCCTCTGAGCCCCCCCCCGCTTCCGCCGCCAGTGACATATGCTGATACCAACTCTAGTTACGTTGCTGAGATAATCTGACACAAGGAGCCCTGACAAATCATATCTGTAATCAAAACATCTCAACCCCCCCCCCAAAAGGCACGTGCCACTTTTTGGTGTGCTGGAAGAACTTCTAAACGGAATGTACTGGTTTTTCTTTATTCTATTTAAATCACAGTATAAGAAATCGTCCGCTTAAGTTTTACTTTATGAGAGCCGACATTTGTTGGGCTTCTTTTAATAGTTATGTGATGTACAGATTCAACGATGAGGCTTTAGGGATGACTCCCGAAGGAGTTATTTAAATAACTCTTTGTTGACATGCATAACTTCTGAAAGTGTTCATGTTTACATTATCTTACGATTGTCAGAGTGTGTTCTGGAAAAGATCAGTGCGCCCGAGGACCACAAGTATGGAAGTACCTACTGGGGTTCTTGGATGCAGGACACCGCCCCAAATCCGTCCCAACCAGACAAGATATGGGTGACCAAGCATTTGTATGGAGTTACCATTTTCGGTAAAGAAAAAAATAATAAGTAAAAGATGGCGGCTAAAATGCATGGAGTGAAATGGAAACAAAGTAAAAAGAATTGCAGGTGGTTGGATCATATTAATCATCTTTTAAAATGATTATTTACAGAATACCAAAATATGGAAGCTCTAAAGTTGGACACGTACACTAGGTACCACACCCTCTCATATACCTGGGCTGGCACGGGCCATGTGGTCTACAACAATTCCCTATACTTTCACCGTAGCTACTTGCCCGAGATTGTGCGATACGACCTGAGCTCGGAGACCGTCACAGCCAAAGTAAGCATTCCGTTTGCCCGGCACCGAAGAGTGCGTGGGCAGGGGTACCTGTACAGTTCTAATTACACTTATTTTGACCTTGCCGTCGATGACAACGGACTGTGGGTAATTTACAAGACCACAGAGCTCAACCAGAACCTTGTGGTGTCCAGACTAGATCCAGAGGACCTCTCCATCAAGACGACAATTGTGTCCAATCACCCCCCGCGCTGGGCAGGCGAAGCCTTCATCATCTGCGGCCGGCTGTATACAACCAAGAGTTCTGAGCAATTCAACTCTACTGTGGACTTTGGAGTGAACCTATTCACAGGAGAGGAACTGGCTGACGTGGATATTCCCTATCGGATCGGCCACTTAAAAATGACCATGATGTCCTACAACCCAAGAAATCAACTGATTTATGGCTGGGACAAGGGGTACATGGTGACATATAATGTCACCTTGACTAAACTCTAATCAACACAAAAAGAGGAAAGATTATTTGTATGACAATTTCACAAAACAAAATATAATCTTAAAGTAGATGGCTTGAATTTATCAACTGAAAAGTTTAAAAATGTTCAACTGTGCCAGGCGCAGATCCGAGGGGGAGTTCGGGGTTCGACCCCCACCAGCAAAAAAGGATAAAATGGGGGAAAAATTTAAGTAAGTGCAACAATACCACTGTAAACAATATATTTCACGTATGTTTCATCCTTTTTTTCCGTTTGTCTGCAAATTCAGACAAAAAATCTCCACCTGGGCTGCCTTCAGGAGAATGAATGCTGATAATGCCCCCTCGGCTTCGGCTCATCACCAGCATTATCAGCATCTATTTATAAAACATTTTAATTAGAAGCGAGGGCCTTTCAAATTAAAAGACTATCCAGTTCACCTTTTGTAGGCCTCTCCTGGGATATCCTGGATTTACTTGACTAGGTTTCCCTCAATCTGCCATCCCCCCCTTCTCGGTTGTTTATGAACTGTAATGACACTCAAAAGTCTGGAAGAGAAACCAATCTATGGCCGTGTCCAAAACGGACTTCTACAGCTGCGTCGCGTCGAGCATTTGGTTCACACGCACTAGGAAAATATTGAGTAGGTTATTCTGGCACGCAATCCTTAGGGGACATTAGTCTTTCCGGTACTTCGCAAAACCCACACACTTCACTTCAAAATGCTCTGTTTTGAATTGATGTTATGAAACGCTGTCTCAAACTCGCTCTGTGGTCACTTACAATCTGACGCAGTCAAGAACCAGTGGGCTGGGCCAAAAATGCTTGTGTCTGGATGGTGAAACACTCGCATAGCTGCAACGGTGGATCCAGAAAAAAATGGGGGGGGGGGGCATATTTGGTTTGTTGGGGGAGGGGAAATTTTTCATGTAACCTTTTATCGCCTTTATCGGGGGTAAGGCTACATTCTAGGGCTTTTAACACGCTTTTGGAGGAAGAGAAACGAAACGATACAAAAACACCTTAAATCATTAAAAGAAATTTAATGGGGGATAGCCCCGTTGCCTCCCCTTCATTCGCCCTTGCCATGCAGTCGTGGAAGGGCTCCAATGGTTTAATTAATACGACGATTCAAGCTACATTTCATATGAAAGGATAGTATCAACCATGCACGCAGGCGCAGTAAACTTTTGTCTAGCCTCCCCACCCCCGCTGGAAAATATTGAATTCGCAATTCTGCATTTAATTTTTTTAATTAAATAAAATAGTCCATGATCATTTTGAAGGGGCATTGTGCGCAACATGCATTAAACTCTGCTAGACATTCTCCCTAAGTGAAAGAGCAGTAGCGAAAGTTGAAAGGTGACGTGTGAAGGATCTAGCCCCCCCCCCAAAAAAGTGGCTCCAGAACCACGCCTACTAGCGACGCTCATGGTTTCATATAAAGCAAGATATGAGACGGAGAGAATCCCCCCGTGCTTTGTGTTGGTCATTGTTTCATTGTAATCTGAGAAAATTCTTTTCAGACATCTGGGGAGGATGTGTTTGGTAACAATAGTTTAGACTGTGTATAGCAATTGGACGTGGGGGTACCCCTAGGTCTCATTTCTTGTTGGATATGCATGATTTTAGCAAAATTTACTAGCATTATTCAAATCTCTATGGGGAAGAACTTTGCCACGCCTACTCCTACTTATTTGCAGCAAAAACCTTTTATCAGCAAAAACCTTTTATTTTAGGAAAGTAGATGTATATTATGACACTTTGAGTTGAATTAGGTTTTAATTGTTGACCTCCTGGCCATTACGCAGTAACTATATGTAGCATGTGGAGCTACATGTACATGTATGTTGCGCCATATTGAATTTGAAGAGGAAGTGCTGGCGTTTATGTGAACAGTTTGTGTACACCAAGTAAAGTAAACATGCAGAAAACGTTCTCCTTCCAACGAACAGATAAAAGAGAGCAAATTGGGATATTGTACGATATTTTCTTGCAAGTGGGCGCAAGAAGAATCCTTTATAAGGGGACAGTGAGAAAATTCTCGTTAATTGTAACAAAGGACAGCTTTTAGATTTTTTCCATTTATGTACATTTGTATTTATGAATTTCTTTACTTTTTAAATTTATGTTTTAAGATTTATATTCCAATGGTAAATGAGCAGTTTCTTTGTCGGATCAATATATATATGACACGCGTCAAAAGAGGCATTAATAAAATAGAAAACTGTCACTGACAGATTGATACTTTCACTGTCAAAGCAAGCAAAGGTATACAATTACATACAACATTAATTTTAAGTTTTTTAAATATTTCGTTACCTCGCAATTTGCCAAATGCCACATTCTTCATGACTAAGCTTAAGGAACAATGAAATACTTTACCTCTTATTACAATGCGAAGTTTGTTGTAATGATGTGGAATGTTTTCCTCGTCTATATCCTGTTTTTCCATATGTGGTATATTCAGTGTTGTACGGTACCATGTCCCGGAAGAGTTTTAAATAGAGCAAAGTTCAAATTTAAGAACGTAAAGAAAAAATAATAGACACACATGTAAAAACATTATTTCCTCTCCCCTCCCTGGGGGCCAAATATACCAAGCTATGCTTTGTTTCATTAATGAAGTTGACCGGTTGGCAAAATTTTATCTCATTAACTTAACACTACATGGCTAAAGGTGCTTTTTGATCGGAACAGAGGCTAAGCGTGCGTCTTGCAGGGTAGTTATTTTATTCCACAGGGAAACCTCCATTGTGCAGAAAAACTCTGGCCTGTTACATGGCAGCTATGCAAACCATCTATAGAGCCTAAAAATAATTCCTCCAATGAGGCACTTACAGAACCCTTGAATATTGAGAAACTTAAATTGAAATATGTTAGAATTTGCAGTTATTTTTTGTTCATTTATTTCTTGAAAATAAAACACACCTGAAAAAGGCTTTCGTAAAATGTTTCGCTTTCTCAAGCAATCTATCTTCTTCGTGCCTGGTGACCCCTACGGCTGGAAGGCTCGCCTCCAGCATCCCCTGTCTCTAGCAACGTTTGGCTTCGCCCCAAGACCTCCAGTGCGTCGCCTTGTTGTCTTTGGCCGGCCAGCCAACTCTCTTTTTGCCTTTGAGCCCAGCGCTGTCCTGCAGCAGCTGTCGTCTTCCATTCTCAGCACATAGTCGATCCATTTTCATGTTCTTGCCTTTACTTCCTCGTTTATCAGTTTACTATGTCGTGATTAGAAATGGCCTACGGCCACCTAATAAGCATTTAAACAGGAATGTGTCCAACCTTGTTGTCTCCCTCGTTACTTTTCCATATTTCTTTTTCATAGAACACACAGCCTAGTGATTTGTACAGGCTTATGGCTTGGTAAAGTGTGCAATGTGAATTTGCTTGATTTCCATAGCTGCTTTAGCTTCAAAAATACAACCCTTGCTTTGCATATCCTATCACCCATGCCTTGTCCTCTGTTTTTGTTACAGACATTTACACTCAGGCATACATACTTACGAACCTCATTTACCTGCTAACCATCTTACACTGTTCTATCATTTTGCTTAACCGGTGATTCTCAAACCTCAGTGTGCTAATACCGTTAATTAATTTTCAATCCAGCTCATACACCACACGTATTCAGTTTCGTGGCTTAAATTAAGGTTGCATTCCTTTAAGATTGAATTCCATAACTGGCCATATTTTTTCTGCAGGCTCTCTCAATGAACAGAGTCGAACAATTTTTCGAAGTGAACACCTCCGTTGGCACTGAGAAAAAATACCTGAGAAAGATCAAGCCAAAAACAACCTTCCACTTCAAAAATCTGAAATACACAACAACCAGAACAGCTTGGTGTACTCGAAAAAAAAAACTTATTTGATGGTGGCCTTTAGATAAAAACTGAAACTTACACAGAAAACCAAAATATGTTGGGCAGTTTACAATTTAAGAAAAGTGAACTTCAAGGAATAATCTGCATTAATTAATGAAAAGGCTAAATCAAACCGCTAACAAGGCCATCCCGAGTGAATCCTGAATATCGACTGTAAACAATTACAAAATGTTTGTAATGTTACACTTTATTATTCTTACCTAAGTACATAAATTGAAGACAAACATACATGAACAACGGGACAAAGGCACGATTATGCCGGAAGTGGAATGTCGTCAATGAAATTCGTTTTTTACCCATCTCAAGGTGACATTGTCACAATGTAATTGAAGAATACAAAAATAAAATTCCAACATGAGTGTTTCTCGGAGTGATTTCAGTTAGAAATTAATCTTTCAAAAATTACAGAACATGGTCAAGTGGTCCCATGTGTAAAATCCTCGGCCGGCGCGAAGATTTTAAAAACTTTTTTAGATGTTTGCAATGGTTTATAACAAAAAACATGTACGCAGCATCGGTATCTCGTTTTTATTTCATTCCAAACTTCCTGGTACTGGCAAGTGACTGTTCTTATCTGCAACGGCCAAAGTAATGTTTTCGTCAGCTGTCTCGTCATGACAAATTTAGCCCTAGAAGCAGTAGTGTATTTAGGCGTGCCTGGTGCTTTGTGTCCCGGAAGTGTGCACTAAACATGATGTGGTCCGTATCCAGAAGGTCAGATCCGTGAGGAGGATTCAGGATCACTCTACATGTACATTCAGTTCCTGTTTGTCTGGAAATTCCTTATGTTCGCCCAAGCCAGATCGTAATTGTCACTTAACTCCCCTCTGTGTAGTGTTTCGGGAAACTTATTTCGAAGGAAATAAAAATCCCCACTCTCGTACAGGACTCTACCCAATGGGTTTTTTCTCATCTGAATAAATATTGGGCAAGTGAATTATTTGATGTCTACTTACGAGGAAACCGCAAGCACACTGAAATTTCCATCCTCGTAATCTTGAGTTCCCTAACTTCGCTCAAAAACTTAAGCGTTTGTTATGTAAATGTCCGAGAGAAAAGCTTTGATTTGTTAAAGGTCAGCTTGGAAACATCACCCTGGAAAAACAGAACAGCAATGAAAAACATACAGACGCAATGCAGCTACTTTCTCTTAAGTATGGTGTACTATTTACGACACATATTTCTACCTCTCTCAATCCTCTTCCAGGGAGAACCTTTCCATATTCACGTTTTTGGGTGCGTTGCGTGCGCGATGCGTTCATGCGTTTGACTTTCACAGACACAAAACCGACTCCATTAACATAACATACTTGTGCGTTGCGTTCGGCCGTCAAAATTGCCCCGAGAGCGATTTTGACGGATACGCAACGCTTGGCGCAAGTGTTTACGTGCATGGGAAGGCGCCCTGAAGCCGTCTTACGTCATTTCCTTGTTGGCTTTTTTCTGCCTAAAAGTCGCTCCTTCCGTCGTCTGTCGCGCCACACTCGTCGTGCGTTACGTCGTTTTTCATGTCGTGTCGCCTGAAGCAAGATGCCGCGGACGCACGACGCGATGCGCTATGGTGAAGAAGGCGCCATCATGAATTTTCTTTCATTTCCGTTCCCCGCACTTGCAAAATACACACCCTGAGCCGCAGGCATTTGTTTTTTCTTGTTTTTATTTCGTCCAGCTTTTGTCATATTTTATTGAAGAAAAGAGCAACTACAAAATCTGTGTATATAGGAATACGGGAGATTCACAATAGTGCGCCACCAAGAGTTTGCAACGCGTTGGCCAATCACAACGTGCAAAATCTGTTTACCCTTTCCAAGCGCGCATTCGGTCGACAGATTCGCGCATTGTGATTGGTCAAAGCGTTACAAACTCTTGGTGGCGCACTATTGTGAAATACCCGTATTACTCTGGCATAATAAGTGTAAGCCCAGAGTTGGTCACTGTTTAATTACCTGGCCAATCATTTTTTCAAGATTTTTTTTTGCGTTGGGGAGATGTTAATCATATATAATAGGTTTTGCCCTTACCCAACGTATATTAA